ATATATATATATCACAAATCAAACTAAAGCATATCTGGCTTAGTAACATGCAAAATATGCTTTATCTGTTACCAGATAGTAAGATATAATTCCACATAAAGCAGAACAACATAACAATTTTATTTTTGCATATGCCTCATTATAGAGCTCTAAACTATGTAAGAAAGTGACAGGATTACAGGCAGAAAGAAACATACACAATAATTTGTAATCAAAAATGTCAAAACCCCACTCTCAATAATTGATAGACATAGATAAACTTCACTAGCAATTAACCAATGTTACACGATTTATGTTTATGTAACACGTTTGCCAAATTATTTTGAAGTAGACATTTGCCAAGTTAGACATATTCTGGGTCACAAAACGAGGCTCAATTTTAAAGTTTTTACATCATCTAGATTTGTACACAATAGAAATTTTATTTACCAATATCCCAATCTACAAATAAAACAAATATCCTTTGGTAGATGAATGGATAGCAACATTTTGGTATATAAGGGCTATGTAACAGTAAAAAATATTGAGCAATGAAAAGAAATGTTTCATTGATTAAAAACTACATGATAAGGCCAGGGATTTAGCTCAGAGGCACTGCACCTGAGGTCCTGAGTTCGCTCCCCGGTGCCAAAAGACAAAAACAAAAACTACATGATAAATATAAAAATAAGCCTTACGAGTGAAAGAAGTCACTTTGAAACACTTTTTTCTACTTCAGTGCATTTACACAAAACTCTGGAGCGTGTGAAATTAGTAATGGAATGCACATCAGTGGCTATCTGGGGATGGAGGATTACAGAAGGACTAAGGAAAAGGGCTCTCAAGGGATAAGGAAATGTTCACAACGGAGGCATGTTTAACTACCTATATTTTGATGACATTTTTATGGTTTCATGTAGGTGACAACACTTAACAAATAAACCATTTTAAAAATGAGCCACTTACAAAGCTGGGGATTTAGCTCAGTGGCTCTGCGTTTGCCTTGCAAGGGTCTGGTCCTGATCTTAATCCCCCTTTCCCCCCACAAAAAAGGCAATTTACTATATGCAATTTTACTACAGCAGAATTACTTTTCAATCTGAGGTCAAAATAAATTGTTTTAAGCTCAGAACAATGTACTGTTTTAAAAACTTAAAAGTATAATTTTACATACAGTTCATAATTGTATGAATAATTCTCCTTATAGTCATAGAATTGTTAAAATCATCAACCATTTGACCGGGTTACCTGCCTATGAAAACAACTTTGGTATGCATTAGGCCACTGCATCCAAGGCACAGTTTCCTGTTTGTGATCACTTATCACACAATTTAGAACATAATGTGCCTCACAATTCTAAGAAAAATGTTACTTCAGCTGATTAAATAGTTACAGGTCAAGATTTCAGAGGACATCTCCATACTATTTATTAGTCAAATGAGTAATTTTTGAAACTTCAATAATTTGTAATGCTGGACTGATTCATATAATGCTTTACTTATCTACATGTTCTGATTTCAAGAGTATCCAACATTTGATATCATTCTCAATAAATCTATCTCCAGGAGATGTCCAAGATTGTTATTTCCATGACTCTTGGTTTCTTCAGAGCATAGAAACGATAAATTTGCCCCAAGAGACAGCTTTGAGTGGTAAATATATTTCAGGATGAGGAAGAACACTTAGATAGATCCTTCCTCCCCTCTACATGGATGCCTTAAGGACACATCAGAAAACAAGACTAACAGAGAATATTGTCTAAGAGAAAAAACAGTGTTTAGTAAGTCAGCTCATCTCTTTGACTTTCTAAGTGTTTCTTAAAATATTTCTCTGTATTGGTTTTCAGGATGTCCACCATTCTTGGAGTTGAGAACAGCCTCTTTAGTCTGATATTTTCAGAAGGCAATCCATATGTTTTTTGTAGCGGTCCTATTTCTACTGGAATTTCTGTGGTCTTAATAACAGTACACGCACCACTAAAATGCATGTCATCGGGGATGCTTTGAGGTTGGTTTAGATAGATCACAGCTCTTTGCTGGTTAAGGAGTAGCTTCCACATATACTGTTCAAATTGTGTCTATCTTTTATGGGGATAGAAATTTGTATATCACAGAATGAATAGTATTTGAAGTACCTTTTAGCACAAAGATAGAAGCAAGATAATAATAATACAAGAATGACAAATCTAATGAGAAGTGACCCAAAATTTTGTTCCTACAGAAAGAGGATTAAAACCTACAAAATAAGAACAAAGCATGGAATCCTGAGGTCCTGTAAAAGGCCCATGTGTTTTTATGTGTGTTGTATAATGTAAGAAATCCGTTGAGTTGTTTAAATCCTAGAATATTATTGGAAAAATAGAAGTATTAAGGATATTATACAGTTTAGTATTTACAGTGAAAAACTTTTAGAGGACACTGGATCTAGAGAGGAATGACAATTTACTGATTCTCTGAAATATTGATTAATTTTAATATGGTAATATAACAACTCAGAAATACTGGAATAATATCAATTACAGAACTGATATTTTAAAAAGCTAAATATTTCCTTATTGGTCAATTGTGTCCTAAGAATGAACATAGTAATCTCTTAGCAATTTTATAGGACTTTTCTCTCTCCAATACATTTGAAAATCTGCTTTTTTGCCATCAACTATCATCTGTGTAACTTCTTTTAGCAACCATAGAATTAGCTTTTTTTTTTAACATTTGGGAAAATTTTATACTGATGGAAATTAAATTTGTAGCAAATGGCCAGATTGTTAAGTTTCTGTAGGGGCATGGACTTGTTCTGCATAGTATCAGTTCACTCTGCTTAGATATCACTAAAATATCTATTGCCCATGATATGCTTATTTGTAACTTCTGAGGCTATTATTATACATCTGATTTCATCAAGATTTTAAAGTGAGCAACACAAATTGAAATGTTGCCAAGATAATTAAGAAAGGGGCAAAAAATGAACAATTATTTTTAACCATTCAGCTTGAGAAGTATTCTCAACTTACTTAAAAGTCAATATAAACAATATTATATTTAGAGGTAAATAATTGTGTTCACTGATGATTAACTTACATTCACTCAGCATTAACAGTAAATGATGTATACTTTGCTTACATGTGCATATAATTTCTTCTACTCTTAGATATGACATACAGAGATGATAGGTAAAATTTTTAAATTAGGTTAGAGACTAGAATATTTCAAGGCCTAGACATTTCATAGCACCAATTCATATAATTGAAGCTAAATATTTTTCTTTAAAAGTTTTAATTAGAAGGAATTCTCTGAGTTCAAGTTGAATCTCAGTTAACTTCCCTTTTGGCTAATGTATATATACAGAACTTTACATTTATATTTTATTCCTATTCATTTAGCTTAAAAAATTTCTACTACATTATAAACTTAAATTGATGATAAATTATATCCTTGGTTTTATTCATATAAATCTTCAAAACTTTAATACAACCTCCTTTATGAGCATTAATTTTAGAGAATTAGAAAACAATTTTAATATTATGATGTCTTAAGGGATCAAATCCACCAACACTGTAAGGGATGATCAGAGTATAAAGAAAGCACAAAATTGTATCCTATCATTTGTATTGAAATTCAAAATCAGTTCTCTGTCTCCTTCCCTACTGTATGATTTAATATTTGCTCTATATTGAGATGATTGTTGATACTGCACTCAATGTTTTATTTTTATTTCTCCACTGTTAGACAGAAACTAATTCTAGAAGAAAACAGTGCTTTTGTTACTCCAATTTTTGTAAGAATACTTTTCTGATAAAGCATTTGCATAACAATCTAATCTCATGCTCTACTTCTAGGAAACTTAATCTTACTAATTTGTCTTCTTTTTGTAGCATAAAGCCATTAATATTTGACTAAGATTTGTCATTACCATTACACTTTTAATTTTCAGATACAGGCTTTCAAAAAGATAAATGTCATTCCTTTTACAACTAAACAATAACCAAGCCTTCTCTTTAGTTTAATTCAGAGGAAACTGAATAAAATGGACAAAGAGAATCAGTCTGTAGTATCAGAATTTGTGTTTCTGGGACTCGGAAATTCATGGAATATTCAGACCCTACTCTTCCTGATATTTTTGATGCTTTATCTAATGATTCTGTCTGGAAATATTGCTGTCATGATCTTAATCATCCTGGACCCTCAACTTCATTCTCCCATGTACTTCTTGTTGGCCAATCTGTCGTTTGTTGACATGTGGCTTTCCTCAGTGACAACCCCTAAGATGATCACAGACTTTCTCAGGGAGGTCAAGACCATTTCCTTCGGAGGTTGCATGTGCCAGATCTTCTTTGCCCATTTCATAGCAGCAAGTGAGATGGTTCTCCTGGTGGTAATGGCCTATGACCGCTATGTGGCCATCTGCAAACCACTGCACTACTCCACCATCATGAGCCTGCACAGGTGCACTGGGCTGGTGGCGATTGTGTGGACAGCTGGCTTTGTGCATTCCATGAGCCAACTGGTTGTCATTGAGAAACTGCCTTTCTGTGGGCCCAGGGAAATAGACAGCTTCTTCTGTGATATACCACTGATAACGAAGCTGGCCTGCATGGATTCCTATAATTTGGACATTTTAATAAACGTAGACTGTGGGCTTGTGGCTGTAACCTGCTTTGTTGTGTTGCTGATCTCCTACACATACATTCTTCTCACTGTCCGCAAAAGCTCCAAAACAGGTGCTTCCAAGGCACTGTCCACCTGCACTGCCCACATCATGGTGGTGGTGATCTTCTTTGTGCCCTGCATCTTCATCTACGTGTGGCCACTAAACATCACCTGGCTGGACAAATTTCTTGCTGTCTTTTACTCTGTTTTTACTCCTCTCCTAAATCCAGCCATTTATACACTAAGGAATAAGGAGATGAAAAATGCTATGAAAAGATTGAGAAGCTATTATATGGATTCCAAGGGCAGAGTATAATATTCAGAAATCGCATTGTGAGTACCTCCTATGGACAACATGCTGACTATATAACATTGGTAGAAATTAAGACAATTTATTTCATATCTATGTTATTCTAGTCTACACATGCATATATATTTTATTATAGTGAAGACTTCTATGATTTACTAATAAGCTAGGAGATCATTTTGAATTATTTCCTTAAAATCCAAGAAGAATTTATCCTTTTAAAAAATATTTGATTTTTTTCCCTTTTTTCTTTATTGGTACATTTTAGGTATATAATACACTTGCTTTCATCACTGGGATCTTGTACCTTTGTGTGATATATCTTGGTTCTTATTTTTTCCTCATTCCCCTGACCTCTCTTCATCCCCTCCACCCTTCCCTATTTACAGAGACTTGATATATGCTCACCCATGTTTATAGTGGCACAGTTTGTAGTAGCTGAAACTTGGAAACAGCCTATTTGCACATCAACTGGAGACTGGATAAAGAAGAATAGTTTTTTTTAACATAAAATGGAGTACTACTCAGCCATAAAGAATGAGAAACTAGAGATATTTATAGCTAAGCGGATGCACATTGAGAACATACTCTGAAGTGAAATTAATAGAGCACACATATGTAAAAACAGAGTAGATTCTCTGGTATAACAAAATAAAAGTGTAAATAAGAATCAAAATCTATGATTGCTATTGTGTAATAGGAAAAAATGTCTAAAGGTATAGGGGAAGTTAAAGGGGTAGGGAAAAGCTAAGAAGGGAAAAGAAAAAATAAGAGAAAAGGAAAAAATGGAAATTATCCTTTTTTATTGGGATAATATCTAGCCAGTCTTTCCATGTTTAATTATATAAAGAAGATCTTAAAATTTGTTTAAGGTTTTAAACTCAATCTATTCTCATATTTTAATGAACTGCTCCTGAATATTTTGCTAACACCATTTAAAAATATGTATGTGGTACCTTGAAATACTTCCCAAACCTTTCACTCACCTTTTGTCAAAAGGCATTTTCGTTACTACTATTTTTGCCTTATTCTGGCTTTTCATCAAAATATTAACCCTGTATAAACAAAGAGAATTAGAGATGAAATAAAAAAGACAACCTAAATAGGGAATAGCAGTGTAGTTAACTCTATATTGTTTTTCATTAAAAAGTTTAAAATAAATACTTCTTAACTCTATTTTTGAATGTCATTCACAAGGACCAAGTTTATTTTAAAATTGCCATTTACCATTTGTGTAAAATTTGAAATACATCTCCCTGGGGACAGTGTCATGACTTTGCTGGTTAATTTTCAAAACAGTAATGCTTTTGATATAGTGGATAATAATATACAGTTAATAATTATACTCTAAGAAAATCAATGCATGCTAATTGTTAAATTCATTTATAAAATTTAATTTTTAAATACTATTTTCAATTACTTTTTTATTTGCACTTTAAACTGTTCTTAAGGGGCTGGGAGATGCATATTAGTGGTAGAGCGAGGCCCTGGGCTCAGTAATAAGCACTACAAAAAAAATAGTCTAAAAGTTTGAAATATATTGTATTTTTCTTCTATAATTATACATCAAATGAATTAAAACTTACTTATAGGAACAATATAATTTCTTTAGTAAGCTGCAAATGAGGAAATTACATACTTAGTTGCTATTTTTCTTAATATGAAAACAAAATGTAAAATAAAAATTTGTCATGCTGGGCTGTCTGTTCCATGTCACCATGCTATATGTATTATAGCCGTCAACACTTTTATAATTTATAAATTATGAATAAAGAAAAATTAGAGATCAATATGTAATTTAATGTAGTATTGTGTTTTATTTAAAGGATTCAAAGCAAATGGATTCCAAGACTGCTTATATATTACATGGCTTTGCACAAGGCAACACAATGATTATTTTTTTGCAAAGAAAAACAGTAGCTCATGCCAAGGATAGAAATACCAGAACATCCCTATTCCTGCAAAAAATTGTTGGAAACTGTCACAATCCATAGTGTGTTCAATGTCGCCATCTGAACTGTAAACCTGAGCTCACAGCAGCGCATTTGCAGCATTTAAGGACTAGTAGTCAACTCTGTCCACATGTATCTCACCTATAACTTAAGTCTTTCTCAGGGGTGTAGCAATCCAACCACTTAGTTACAATCACTGTGGGTTGTAAATACATTTCCTACTACTTAATACTGAATGTTTTTATTTCATTATATATTCTCACAATGTAAGTCAATTGCAATAGATCATCCCATATGTGTTCAGATTGGTGAATCAGATGGTTATCAGCCAGTTGCATCCTACCTTGTGCTGTAAATAAACTTCTTCATCTAAAATAATTTTGTACTGAATGTCACTATGGTGAATAAGTCACTACTTAAGTCTATAAAGGGTGGTGCACACTGAGTTAATGCTAGTCACCAATACAAAGGAATATTTTGCTAATTTAAAAGTATGTGATAAACATAAAAATAAGTCTGATGAGTAAAAGAAGTCAGACTGAAACAGTACATCCTGCTTGAGTTCATCTATAGAAAATTCTGGGATATGCAAAATGAGTAATGGAACACACATTCATTGGCTTTCTGGGGAAGTAGGCAGTGTGGAAAGGACTGGAGAGAGGGGTAACCAAGAGATAAAGGAACTTTCAGAACTGAGGCACTTTCAAGTACCTTCTAAGTTCAATCCCTGGTACCAAAAAATAAATAAAAACAATCAAGTACCTTCTATATTTTCATGATGTTTTGATGGGTACATTGAAAACATGTATAAAATTGGGCATTTTAAAACTGAGCAACTTACTATATGCAATTTTCCTAAAACAGAGTTGTTTTTAAATCTTAGTTCAAACCGAATTGTTTTAAATTCACATCAATGTCCTCTTTTAAAAACCTGAAGTATCATAATAACGTTACATTTCACAACGGGCAATGATCTTTATACTCATAGAATTTTTGAAACCCATCAGGCATTTGATCACTTTCCTGCCCATTTTTTAAACAACTTTGACCTGCATCAGGGTGCTGCATCCAATGAAGTTTCTTGTTTTGTGAACACACTATTTAGAATATTGAGATCAAAAAATAGACAAACAAGAGACAGCCAGGATAGAGAACTTTGTAAACCAGATAGACGTTGGGAAAACTGAAAAACGAGGGGAAAAGAAACTCACTGAGATATGTCATAGATGTGGGAGACTTCGAGGAAAGGGAGCAGAAGAAATGTGTTCTCCTGATATCAGAAGCCTACGTTTTAAAAAATGGCAAACCATTGTTTCAAAGGACAGGGCAGAGAAGCAGAGGAATTCTGTTCTGAATCAGCGGCCTGTCTAAAAGCAGTAGCCAAAAGAACTCACCAAAATAGCTTACTAAACTCTGTGCATAAACCCACAAACTGTGCACATCTTCAAGGGCCCTTGGAGCCCCTCTAAGTTAGAGAGCGTTTTGGATTTTTTTCTAAAGACCTATACCCAGCTGGCTCCCCAGTGCTGTGACCCTGGGCTTCATTCTTTATGGTTCTCAGGACATGAGCCCAGAGGGAGAAGAAAATAGGTTATATTATGATTTCTCATGCAACTGTACAGAAAATGTTCCTCTCATCTGATTATATAGATACAGTTACAGGGTAAGATTTGCAGAGAACTTCTCCACACTACTAATTAGTCAAATGAGTAATTTTTGAAACTTCAATAATTTGTAATGCTGGGCTGATTTATGTAATGCTTTACTTATCTATGTGTTCTGATTTCAAGAGTATTCAACATTTGATATCATTTTAACAAAGCCATCCCAGGAGATGTCCAAGATCATTATTTCCATGATTCATGATTTGTTCAGAATACAGAAAAGGTAAATTTGCCTCAAGAGAAAGCTTGGATAGTGAATATTTTCAGGATGCTGAGGACAGGTGAACACAGATCTTATCTCTACCTTATAGGAATGCCTTAAGCACAGATCAGAAGAGAGAACTAACAGATGTTGCCCAAGAGTACAAAGTGTGTTTAGTAAGTCATCTTATCTCTCTGATTCTCTTTTCTAAGTATTTCTTAAAACATTTAGCTGTATCTCTTTTAAGGATGCCCACCATAGTTGGGATTGAGAAAAGCCTCTTTAGCTTTTGACATTTTCGATGGCAATAGATGTGTTTTCTTTGGCTGTCCTAATTTAACTTGAATTTCTGTGATTTTAACAATACTCTGCAGACCACCAAATGCGTGGCCTCAAGGTTGCACTGCAGTAGGCTTGGGAGATAAAAATTTTTTTCTTGTTCTTGAATATGAGCATCTAGCAGGTATTTTCTTCAATGGCCACCATCTTTTATGAGATAAAAATTTTATATCACAAATAGAAGATATAAAAAAAGATATTTTACCATAGATACAGAATTAAAAATAAAATATTACAAATCTGATTAAAAGTGATCCAAATGTAATTCCTGGAGAGCAAGGATTAAAATTTATAACCTGAAAACCAAGGAAGTCATTTTGGGTCCTGGAATAAGCCCCTGTGTTTTATTAATATGTATCTTAGGAAATTCATTGAATTTTCTTAAATCCTAGCATATGATTGCAAGAACGAAATTATTGAGAATATCACAGGGTTTAGAATTTTCAGTGAAAAATACTATCTATAAAACACTCTGACTTCAAGAAGTTATTTTTACTTTATATTTCCTTTTGCATCTTTGCAATACATCTGTTAGGCCATGTAAGCTCTTTTTGCAGATAAGAATATCTAAACAGAAATAGGGTTAGTACAATGTCATGAGCTCAAAAAGTAATGAAGTAAGATTAGTATCATGTTAAACTAATTCAAAAATTAACTTAAAAGTTTATTGAGATTCCTAAATATTGTTTAATTTTAATATAGAGTTATAAGTACACAGAAATATTCACATACCAATTAAAGTACTGATTTTAAAAGATTGTTGGCTAATTATTTCCTAAGAATGAACATAGTTATCTCTCACCAGTTTGCTAGGACTATTCTCTCTCCACTATATATAAAACTTGCATTTCT